CTTCTTCCGTAGATGACACCGCTAGAACCCGGTGGCCAGAGTTTAAACCCGAGCCATCTGGTAGTCTCTGCTCTTAAAATGAATCTGTCGAAAAGATTAACCAGTAGTGTTACCTGTTTCTAGCTTTGCAGGTCATTTGTGGCAGCCCAGCAGAAGGGGATGGATACATAGCGTAAGAAAGAATGGGCAGGATTTAGATCCGCTAACCTGGGACCAGATGAGCGAGTCTGAGTTTCTGGACCAGGAAAACCTTAATACTCATGAAGAGCAGACTGGTAGAATTAGGGTGTGGGGAAGGCGCGGTAAAGGTGATTTGCATTTTAGATGATTGAGTTTATGTGGCAGTGTGACATCCCAGTAGATTAGAATGGAGCGCTAAGACATTTTTTGGTCAAGATTAGAAGCTCACAGTGTGTGTACATGGTTTATTCTGATTGTATAAGACTTTAAAAATGAAAAGAGTTCACATGTCTTTACGTGTTTCTTCATCTTTAAAATGAGCTTAGTAATACTATCAACTTCATAAGGTTTGTGAGGATTAAATCAGTTAATATGACATAGTACTTTGAATAATACCTGGCCAAGTAGCACTCACTGTTTTTGTTTTTGTTGTTAATCCTCACCCGAGGATATTATTTTCCATTGATTTTGAGGGAGAGGAGACAGAGAAAGAAACATTTATGTGAGAGAGACACATCATTTGGTTGCCCAGAGGTACCTAGATCAAACCCTCACCCCTTTCAGTCTGTGGGCTTAAAACCACTGAGCACCGGCTAGGGCGCCCTCACTGTTTTTAATTGTTAATTACTTAACAAGTGTAAATTGAAAGAACTGTGGGAAAGCATGGAGATTGGGAAAGAGAGCAGCCTGTTTTGGAATTACAGGTAATGTAGTTCATTATTAAATTAAGGGCATAAAGTCAAGGCAGTATATTAGAACATGAGGTTCTTGTATAAGTTACATTAATAAGTCCATCTAACTTAGAAGATGAACTTAAGATCCAGAAGTCAGCACCAGTACAGAATTATTAATAGGGTTGGTGTTATAATGACAGTAAATATAATTCCATCTTAAAGAAGTTGTTTCTATTATATATCCATCACTGTGCAATAGTTTAAGATGAGTGGGAGGCCCCATATATAGATTTATAATTTAGTTTATGCTGTACAACAAGGTTTTATAAACTGCACTTAGACAGTAAGCTATTTGATAAACATGGAGAAAGAAACAGAAGTAGCAATTGAAAGAATGGGAGGAGAAATGTGAAAGAAACTATCATAAAGTTAGAAGTGTAATATGCCAACCAGAATATAGTCTTTTGTTTTTTAGTCCCTTGAGACTTTTCTTTCTGAGCATTCAAAATTCTGGCTGTAACCAACAGTGTGCATTTAACAAGATACAACGATAACTTTTATTACTTAAAACAATAAAAGTATATTTTAAGTGTTTGTATTTTATTCCTTAGCAGGATTCATTATTCATCTAACTCAGCAGTTCTCAACCTGTGGGTCGCGACCCCTTTGGGGGTTGAACAACTCTTTCACAGGGTTGCCTAAGACCATCGGAAAACACATATATAATTACATATTGTTTTGTGATTAATCACTATGCTTTAATTATGTTCAGTTTGTAACAATGAAAATACATCCTGTATATCAGATATTTACATTACGATTCATAACAGTAGCAAAATTACAGTTATGAAGTAGCAATGAAAATAATTTTATGGTTGGGGGTCACCACAACATGAGGAACTGTATTAAAGGGTCGCGGCGTTAGAAAGGTTGAGAACCTCTGATCTAACTCAATCTGTTTTACTTATTAGAAAATAGGCTGCGTTCTGCCAGTAAAAAAAGTAAAACTCAAGCCAGTGCTTTCTCCATTATATTTTATTATCTGTCTTATTAGAGACTTAAAAATGGAATGTAGGCCCTGCCCTCATGGCTCAGTTTGGAGCGTCATCCCATACACCAGAGGTTTCGGGTTGGATTCCCAGTCAGGGATTGTGGATTCAACACCTGGTTGAGGCAACTGGTTGATGTTTCTTTCTCCCAAATCAATAAAAACAGATCCTTGTGTGAGGATTAAGAGAAAAAAAGTAATGTAAACAATAGCCTGCTAATATAAGTTACTTACATAAGTTGTCTTTTTTTTTTTTGCTTTTCTACATTCTTTTAAGTAATTTCAAAAAGAAACACTTTAACCCTGGATTCACTTAACATTTTACCTTATTTGTTTTATCATTTGTCACCCCTCCCCCACGTATGTGTGTGTATGTTGCATACATGATGGCCCATTACTCCTAAATTTTAGTGTGTATTTCCTAAGAATAGGGATATTCTCTTACAGAATCACAGTAAAGTTATTTACTTTAGTAAATTTAACAATGCTACATTTACTTTTTAAAAAAATCATCTTTTATTTTCAGTTACATTTGACATAGATCATTATATTTCAGGTATACACCTCAGTGACCAGACATTACATAACCTAACTAGAGGCTCAGTGCATGAAAATCATGCACTGGTGTGGGTGGTGTGTCCCCTCAGCCCGGCCTGTGCCCTCTCGTAGTCCGGGACCCCTCAGGTATTTCTTGCACTGGGCCTCTAGTCCCATATAATAAAGAGTTAATGTGCAAATGATCATCATGCCCTCACGCCATAACAGCTCAGACACTCAACACTGGGGAGAGAGAAATGGGGACCAGCCAGGTTGCGGCCCGGGAGAGAGACAAACCACATGCCCTGTGGTCCCAGGCGCCAGTGGCTGGAGCTCCAGCCTGGGAGAGAAACAAGCCACGCCCATGGCCCCCCGCCCGCCTGCGGTCCCAGGCACCAGCGTCTGCGGCCCAGGAGAGGTACAAGCCGCCTGCCCCGTGGTCCTGGGTACAGTGGCTGAGGCCCGGGCAAAGCCACCCACCCACGGTCCCCTGTGGCTGTGGCCAGCCTGGGTCCCGGGTGTGGGGCGAGGCAGAGGCGATTAGGGGCGATCAGGCCACAGGGGAGCAGTTAGGGGTGGTTAGGGGCAGGCAGGCAAGTGGTTAGGAGCCAACAGTCCCTAATTGCGAGAGGCAGACATCTTCTTAGGGGTCCAGGATTGGAGATGGTGCAGGCCGGGATGAGGGACCCCCTTCCCCATGCATGAATTTTGTGCACCGGGCCTCTAGTTATATAAAAAGTTTGTAACTTTCCATGTGTTAATTCTAGACATTGAAATTAGAAAACAAACACTGAAGCATATACAGAATACAGGTATATAGTTGAGGTGCTGAAATAGTTATATGAGGTTTATAATGAAAACCAGCATTTCCCTGCTGCAGGGCTTCTCCCACTTTTCTCTAAAGGTTAATTGCTATTAGTTCGTACCTCTTTCTCTTGTTATTTAAGATCATATTTTCAAATAACTTGCCTTACTGCTATTTTTTGCATTTTAGATTAGTATAAAGATATAGCTCTCATTCTGTCTTTCAGCACCCCTTATCCTCCCAACATAGTTTTAATAATGTTTGTTAAAATCCTGTTTAGTGTTTTCATTATTATTGCTATGTTAATACTGTGGTATATAGTTACATTTACCTTCTTGCATAATCCTTTTATTTTTCTGAAGTTATCTTTCCAGCTGTTAGCTTTCATCAAATCTATTTGTTTTCTCATTCTTAAGCAATTCTCAATTCAGTTATCTACAGTCATAACTCTCAAATCTATAGTTTCTCTTAAAAAAAATTTTTTTAGACATTTCTCTTGGATTGTCAGTTGCCCTACACTGATTTAGACTGTGGCTCTTTAAACTTGCTGCTTGATTTAGAGTGCCCGTTACCTTACTATTGAGTTTTCTTATCAACACTGCCCAATAAAACTTACTGCATTGATATAAATGTTCCTTTTCTGTGTTGTCCAATGTAATATCTGCTAGTCACTTGGAGTTTTTGAGCACTTGAAATGGGTCTAGTGCAGGGGTGGGCAACCCCTGGCACGCGTGCCTAACATGGCAAGCCAGTAACTTTTGCTGGCACGCAAAACCCTCTCTTATAGTCTTCCATTGACAATTTTTTTCTTAATATCAACTTTTTTATTTTTTGGATAAATTCAGTGTAGGTGCATCTTAGATAAATAAATAATTTTAGAAAACAAGTTATCTTAAAGACCATAGACATGGATTGACGAGAGAGGGGAAGAGCAATTTCTATGCCTCTGCCTTAACTCTCCCTGCCTTCCTAGGTCTACTGAGTTTTTGTCGCTCAAATGAATTTTATTATTTCTTCAAGGTTCTTCACATACATACACCTTAAGAGATATCAAGTAGGCGTAACATGTTCTCAGAAAATTAGGGTTGGCACGCAGAAGAATTTTGAATCAGATTTTGCTGGTTTTGGCACGCACTCACAAAAAGGTTGCCCACCCCTGGTTTAGTGTGACTGAGGAGTTATATTTTAACTTCAGTTCTAATTTAAATATTCACATATGAGGCTAGGACACTGTATTGGAAGCTCAATTCAAGATGGTTTCATAATGCCTTTTTTACTCTATGCTATTTGTATGTATTTTTGAACCATGAGAATTAATGAAAAACATAAAAATTTTAAAATTAAAAAAGATAGTTTCATACTCAAGTGATGGTTTCATACTGATTAAGTGGCAGTGGGTTGGATTTAATGTAATTGTTGTAACTTTTTTTAAGAGGAATATTTGGGACTACTACTTCTAAGAATTCCTAGTATAAAAAGCTCATGACTTAAAATTCTTTGTCACAGTTTGAAACATTAATAATATAGTTTGATCAGAGTCTAGGGGTTCCGTCAATCATAAAGCCATGTTTTCTCTTTATAACCGAGTTTCCAATTTAAGGTAAGAATGCATTAGATAAGTATTGTAAATTTTTAATATATATTTTAAAGAGCTATAAAATCCTGTACTGCCTCATAATATTCTTATTTTGTTTTATGAATTGCTTAATAAGAACCAGCATATTTATACATTGCTATACTTATTCTATAATTACTTAAAGAGGATTGTCTTTTATTTTATAGGTAGCTACATCAAGCTGGGAACCAGGCAGAACCAAAGGATATCATGAAGTTTCCAGGGCCTTTGGAAAACCAGAGATTGTCTTTCCTTTTGGAAAAGGCAATCTCTAGGGAAACTCAGATGTGGAAGGTAAATGTGCCGAAAATGCCTACAAACCAGGTAATGATATTTCTCTTTACTCTAGATAGATTACTTTTATTAGAAATAAGTGTACCGTTGTCCTATATAGTGTCTTGACATGCATTGGAGAAATGTGTACCATTAAAGAAATGCTCTATTCTTTATTTTAGAAATATCTCCTTGTTTTATTCTGAAACAAGAACGAACTGTTTTTGTTGGCTTGTTTTATTTTTATTTGAATTACAGCTTTAGGATGATAGGTATGTCTGTTTTCTTTCCTCATAGTCAATATCTACAGTAGTAAGCTGCCTTTATTTCTACATATATAGCTAGCCATGTAAGCTGAGTATATATCATTGTCTTTAGGGAACAAAAAAAATTGCACTATATTTCTTGAATATTTATAAAGAGTTTGAGTAAACTACTAAGGTAATACAATGTTGGAAGCTTCTAGGGAGATAGCCAGTTGAGCTCTCAATTACTGTTGGTTATATACCCTTTAAAAAAAAAAAAAGTTTAGTATAAGTCAACATGACATTGCTGCCAAAACAAAACAAAATTTAGGGTTAGATTAATGAAATAACCAATCTATTAGTAAGACAAAGTGAGGTAATAGTTTTACTTTATTGCTCATTAATGACAACAACTGAAATGTCTCAATTTAAGAAACACACTAAAAAGAATATATCTAGAAAAAGAAAAACTGGAATGGTAAAAGGGAAATCATGTCAAACATAAAACGGTTAAAGAGCAAAGGATGTTTAATCAGGAAAAGAGATGACTCTATGGGTGTAACACCCATCATTAACTAAAGGGCTATTGTTTAAGATATGGCTCTATTCTATATTACTACAGTGGCTAGAACTCGAACCAATCCAAGTGACCACTAGAAAGAAGCAGTTTAAGATTCAATTTAAGATAATATTGTGAATATAGTGAAGAAAAACTTTCCAATAATTTATGTAGCTTTTCCACAGTGGAATGAACACATACCCAAAGCAGAGGATCACTTATCGGAGATGTTAGAACTTTTAAGTTTTGTGGTTAGACTGAATTATATTAATAAACTGAATGCATATTAATAAAACTATGAAGCTTTTAAAAATACAAATTTCCGCAGTTGCCACTGCAAGCCCAGTGGGTGTGGGTGGGGCCTGGAAGCACTGTAAGGAGCCTCCTCAATGATTCTGATTTGCCTGGTAGTTCAGTGGTTTGAGATCCTGTATTTGAAAACCACATAATTAGATTCCTTAAGAGTTCCAAAATAATGGTAACTGCCTTTATATAAACAACTTGAAGCAGTTTTATGTTTGTATATGAAAAGCATTTGAAAAAATAAATTGGAAATATCTAAAAGTGCATGTCGCCCTAACCAGTTTGGCTCAGTGGATAGAGCATCGGCCTGCGGACTGAGGGGTCCCAGGTTCGATTCCGGTCAAAGGCATGTACCTTGGTTGCAGGCACATCCCCAGTAGGGGGTGTGCAGGAGGCAGCTGATTTATGTTTCTCTCTCATCAATGTTTCTAACTCTCTATCCCTCTCCTTCTCTCTCTCTCTGAAAAATCAATAAAATATATTTAAAAAATAAAAAAAGTGTATGTCACTTTGACCAATCTTTAATCCCCTCAAAAGTCATGTGACAAAATTATCATATATCTAAAAGTGCTATTATTATATAAAAGAATGTCTCTAACCTGGATGAATTATAAAGAAGTGATCATCAGTGTTCATTTAATGAATGTTTACTGTGAGCCTATTATATGCCAGTGAACAAAAATGATACAAACATACCCCAAGAGAACTCAGCCAAATCACCAAGAAACTATAATGCTGTCTCATAAGGAAAGTAGAGTGCTATGGGAGCACATAGAAAGGGAGTAAAAAGTCTATAACCAAAAAAAAAAAAAGTCTGTAACATTCTGTGTAACCACTATCCTAAACTGAGGGTTAGGGGATGCAAATTAAGAGAATTGTGAGAGATCCTTGAAGTAGGATTTAGGTGGGGGAAGAGTAGGGTAGAAGGAGGGAATTGGAGAAAAGCAAAAGGTTGGATTAAACCTATACTTGTTTGGAATACTCACTGAAAATACTCTTCTACTAATCTCAGAGTCATTTCTGTACTTGGTTGTGTTTACCTGGCAGAAGTAGTACTCATATGGTGGTTTTATTTATTATTAGTAGATTAAGTGTTGCCAGGTTTGTTTTGTTTTATTTTTATGGTGCTTTCAAAACTTAGGAGTAAAGGCATCCAGACCATTACTGCTTTAAAGTGTGTACCTTCTAAAAATTAAGCCTATCCTCGGCAGTTAAAAAATAAGATACAGGAGGTTTGAAACAGTATGTTTTGTATTTGTGTCATCTCTCCAGTGGTAAGTTAGTTCGGGTGACTTTTCTTCTTTCGTATTTTTTTACCATTTTAAAATGTAATTTGTCTGTTGTCCCTCATGTCTTTTATTTATTCCTGTTGACTTTAGCTTTGTTTTCTGTTTTTTTAATCCTCACCCGAGGATATGTTACAGAGGGGGTGGCGGGGCAGGGAGGGAGAGAGAGAGAAACATCAGTGGGTTGCCTCACAATTGATCTACTGAATGATGTTCCAACCAGCTGAGCCACCTGCCAGGGCTAGCTTTGTTTTTAATGGGCTATCATTCTGTTATTGTAATCTGTTTATATTTCCTAAGATAATTTAATGCCTATTTGTTGTCTTAGAAATTCACTATATTATTCTCAAGAATTGGAAAAACCTAATTTCAAAATTAATAAGTGCTACCTAAACTGAAAATGTTATATTACCTGAAAACCTCAATTTAATTATCAATAGATGGTGAGATGACATACTGAATATTTTATTTAATAAAGAATGAGAATATTAGATATTGACGTTAAATGCTATAACTAATATATAAACTTTTATCTTCATTTATCTTATTTGCTAGATTTTGAAAAAACTTAAAAACATTTTTAATATATAAACACTATTCCATAGCACTTGCTAACCTTTTATAAGAGAGAATTCTAAACATATTCTTTTTTTTTTATGGTTGTTGTGTATTTTATTTTTTTAATTAAGTCTTTATTGTTCAGATTATTACATTAGTTACTCTAAACATATTCTTGATGATAGCTTGAAACTTTACTTGTTTTATTTTAATTTTATGTTTTAATTGTTCTCTTATAGAATGTTTCTCCATCCCAGAGAGATGAAGTGATTCAGTGGCTGGCCAAACTCAAGTACCAATTCAACCTTTACCCAGAAACATTTGCTCTGGCTAGCAGTCTTTTGGACAGGTTTTTAGCTACTGTAAAGGTAATTAAATACTTTAGAATACACTTAAACGCAGCCTCTTGTTTGAGGCTTTATATGCTAAAATGGGGGTATTAGTAAACATTCTGTAAGATGGAAAGGAATAGGAAAACCTTCGTGGATGTGATACGTGTGCCTGTACGAAGACATGATCTCTTTTATTGCTTTAAATTTTCAGGAATGTTTCTAATTGTGTAATTTTTTTGCTACAAGTATTCCTAACTTATGCTTAACCTATGAAATTTTTGATCTCCTGATTTTAATGCAAACCATATAGCATTGGCAGAATGTTTAGTCATCTTTTAACATATTGGTGTACTAATGTGGACAGTGAATCAAACTAGAAAAGTATAAGCCTATTACACATTTTTCTCTTTCACTTCTTGTTTATTGAATATTGTCTGGTTTTCTGAACAATATATACTTTCTAGAGCCATACATTTGGAGCATAACAAGATGAACTGAACTGTCATAAAGTAACTTGTATTTTTGTTGAATGGCAAATATATGAATATGTTTTATATTGGTCCTGTTGGTATATCTGGTATATTATGCAGAATCAGTCATAGTGGGCCCTCAACAGATTCAAAGCAGAAAGTTAGCATTTATTTAATGGCAAGGCATAAAAAAATTTAAAAAGCATTCAGTTGTTATTTGTATGCCTAGGATTATATAAGCTGGGGGAACTATGAATTCAGTACTGAGGGTTCTCTAGTCTTTTTTATTAGGTATGCAACATAGAAGCCATTTGGATGGCTATTCAGTTACCTTTTTATGTTTCAAACTAATACTCTTAAGAGACTTTAAAAAACCTTAATTACAATGATACTAATTGCCTAAAATCTGGGTTATCTGAGATGCCTACTTTTATCTCAGTATCAAGTCCCCCACCCCTCCATCCTGGTTCCCTGTAACAACTAACCTCCCTTTCACAGAGAAAGATGCTTTTAAGGTCAGTGTCCTTTCTTGGGTCATATATTCTTCAAAAATTATTAATGAACTTATTGTAGCTTTTATTATAGAAAAGATTATTACTGACCTTATTAAATGTTTTAAACTGATTCGGGCAAGTTTCTAAAACAGAATTTTGCCAAGTATAATCTGATTTTTTTCATATTTCTTATTTAATGGGTCCTGTCATGTTGTTAGCATCAGATATAGTACTGTTATTTAGATGGTTAGTCTATAGTGAAACAATCTAAAATGTATTCATAGTTTAAATAAAGGCACTTAAACTTTAAATAAAATTTAAATAAAAGGGCTACAGCAAAGAATGGAGCCTTAATCCTAGCTGTGCAGAATAAAGTGCTATGAAACTCTTTAAAAGTATGTTTAAAAGAATCTCTAGTAAGTGAGATCTGTATGTTTGTATGTGAAGAATACATCCCGATGTACATCCAGGACTGAGAACTGTTAGTTGAAAAATAAAATCACACATTTGCTGCTGGGATTCTTTTTATTACTAAATTTATTTTTGGTGCCCTTGATTTAGGGGTTGCATTGCCTACTTGAAGTTAGTAACTGTTGGGACCTTTGTAATGAACTCCGATTACCTCATAGATGTGGATTTGATATGTTGTACACATGGGAAAATGAGGGAACCTGGAAAACTATCTTAGCAACAAGATCTGGCTCACTTCCTAGACCACTTGTTGGTGTCTCTAACCTCTGACATTGTTTTCTCATCTATAAAAAGATGTAATAGACATGACAATATTTATGGAAGTACTTTCTGAACTGTATTAACTGATTAGTATTAGTGATTATTTTAAAATATTGATAGTATTGAACCAGCTTTTATTATCTCATACAGGCAGAGGATTCTAAGATTCCTAGACGGTATGCCACTTGTACTGAGGCGCAATGGTTATTGGCATGTTTGTTAAAAAGTTAATCAGGGTTGTACTATGGTCATCAGAAGGCTTCCCCAATTTCACAGAAATGAATGTAATATTTAAGTATAAAATACACGGTGACACAGGCTTTCTTTGTGTTGTATAACTTACCTCTGTCATACAATATAATTAGTACTAAATTGTTTTGCTTATTTAAAACTAGATTCTGATGCTGGATTGGCAAACCCTTCTTCTACCAATAAGGTAGAAAGTGGACCAACTTCATTGTAGATATGGAAAACAGGCAAATTCCAGCCCTACTATGGGTGTCAAACCTAAGAACTTTTTTTAACCCACTGGTTGATTCTGTATATATTTAGGATCATTTCATTCTTATGGAGCTTGAATATATAATTTTGTGTGTGTGCACATTAATAATTAGAACATTTCTACTTGTCTGCTATCATCCTATAATTTTGTTAAAAGCACTTGAAATTTATTAATAGCCTTCTTTTTACATTTTCTTCTGTTTAATTCTCCTAACACCTTGTATGTTAATTTTACTGATAGGATAGGTAAAGAGAATAAAACTAGCTTAAAAATACACATACACAAATATTTTTATTTTGGAGAATTTTATTTATTAAATTAAAAATTGTCTTCTAAAATCAAGCTCTTCTCTGCTGGATAGAATTGAACTTAGGCTAACTAACATTGGTTGAACTTTCAGCAATGGAATGATGCTGGTATTTCCATAGAATATCAAATGGCTAGGGTTGTGAAGTTAAAAATTAACTGATCTTAGAAAGCAATGGGTGGGAATCAAATGACTTGCTTTCCACCGAATATATGCATTCTTGTCTCACCTGCATATCTAGTTTTTTAAAATAAACTCTTAACTTTTGAAAAAATCACTGACGTTGCTTTTTTGCTCTTTATAATTTTAGGCCCATCCAAAATATTTGAGTTGTATTGCAATCAGCTGTTTTTTCCTAGCTGCCAAGACTGTTGAGGAAGATGAGGTAAATGTTTTTCTTTAAAAATTAGTTATGTCTCTTTTTTGAATATTTCTCTCCATTTGTTCACCTGCTTTTTGTTTATTAAAACGAAAGTTGAAAATGAAACTTTTCTGTCCTCTCCTCCCTGTCCCTCTTTGGTTTGGATAGAGAATTCCAGTACTGAAGGTGTTGGCAAGAGACAGTTTCTGCGGATGTTCTTCATCTGAAATTCTGAGGATGGAGAGAATTATTTTGGATAAGTTGAATTGGGACCTTCACACAGCCACACCATTGGATTTTCTTCACATTGTAAATATACCTAAGTTTTTTTGTTTCTTATTTGAATACTAGAGGCCCAATGCATAACATTCGTGCATTCAGGGTGGGGCGGCGGAGTGGGGGGCAGTCCCTCAGCCTAGTCTGCACCCTTTTGCAGTCCGAGAGCCCTCAGGGGATGTCTGAGTGACGGCAGTCGGACATCCTTAGCGCTGCCACAGAGGTGGGCCACTATGCTCGCCATCCGTGAGCCATGGCTCGTGGCTGAGCGGTGCTCCTCCTTTGGGAGTGCACTGACCACCAGGGGCAACTCCTGCGTTAAGCATCTGCCTCTTGGTTGTCAGTGCATGTCATAGCAAACAGTCATTCCACTGTTCAGTCCATTTGCATATTACCTTTTTATTATACAGGATATAATCCTATTTTAGTAACTAGAAAAGTAGATTGCCTGATCATTGGTTTAGTTCTGAATTTTAGGAAAAGGGAACTTACTGCAAATAGCTAAGGAAAAATTAGAAATTAGGTGTATGTCAAATCACTGAAGCTAACATCAAAATTGAAAATTGAGTAACACTAAAAGTTTCATCAACTTCTATACATAATTTACCTAGACATTTAAGTAAAACTAGAATGATGATCTTGTGATTTTTTTTCCCCACCAGTTCCATGCCATTGCAGTATCAACTAGGCCTCAGTTACTTTTCAGTTTGCCTAAACTGAGCCCATCTCAACATTTGGCAATCCTAACCAAGCAACTACTTCACTGTATGGCCTGCAACCAATTTCTACAATTCAAAGGATCCATGCTTGCTCTGGCCATGGTTAGTTTGGAAATGGAGAAACTCATTCCTGATTGGCTTCCCCTTACAATTGAACTGCTTCAAAAAGCACAGGTAGGTATCAGTCTAATTAAATAGTGTTCATTTCAAGTATATCTCTTACTTGGATAAATAGGGTTACCAGATGGTTATAACACTAAGAGACATTTCTAATCTTAAAATGGCAAACCATTTTTAAGAGTAGATAAAGGTAAAGTAATTTACACTTTCAATTTATGGGCTAGTCTTTTTTATTCCTGTAAAACTTATATATTGTATTTTCTTGATTCTTTTAAACTTTAAACCCTTCTTCTAGATTACTTAAAACTTTAAGAATCTTGAAAAAGTTAATATGATTTTAAATTATATATTTTCCTTTAGTTTTGTATGAAAAATCTTTCTAGCTGCATTTGTAGGTTTCATTATAGTACTTTACTCATTTTATAAAAGATGCATTAAAAACATAAATTGTAAGAAGTTGTTTTTTTAGATAAGCACATAATTTAGTGTTGGTTGGAAAGGGAAGTATTTGTACCAGAGTTTTTGGAAGGGTGAAGCTCTCTTTCTGAAAGAAGTTTAGTCCTGGTAGTTCCTGTTGTTGCCTGAGATTAGTCCATCACTTGTATTTGCAAATTGGTATAAAATGTTATGGGTCATTTAAATTTTTATCGGCATCTATATAAAATGTAACGGTTTAGTGGGAAAATTCTCATTCCAGTGGAAAGTTAATAATGGTGCTATATGTTACTAATTACTTCAAGAGAATTCTTATTAGTTCTACTCATCTGACCAAGTAGAACTTACAAATTTAGATCTGTAAACCTACTGTCAACTGAATCCGTAAAAGACTTATGAACTTACTTTCCCTTTATATGTCCCTGTTCTCATTTGGCAGTAGTTACTCCAATTTGTTTTATTGGATTTTATTTAGAGAAAAGGCTTAAATTCTGAGCTTAAAAACATTTTTAGTATAGAAACTAATTTTAGTAAAGAGGCTATAGTTATGTTAATAAAATTTATAAGAGAATATTATAAAAGAAAAATGAGAGTAATACTTGAGTTTGGTGTTTTATGTAAATTAGTTACAACTAATGATGTTATAGATGTGAGCTGTAGAAGTCAGCAGACATACAAGAAGTGCCTTAGAGCTACCTCTTAGCTTTGAGAATTTCAGGCCCTAGTTTGTGAGCAGAGAAAGACATTATGAAAAGCGTAGTGATCAGAGCAACACATTAGCCAGAGCACCACCATTCTCCTATGTGTTTTATTCCACTGTTTTTAGCATGGCTCAGCTTGTTCTTCATTTCTGGGACATGTGGTGTTAGTGTAACAAGGGTGTTTCTTCTTTACAAGTGAGATATATTCTTTTAATAGCATATGTTAGATTGAAATATTGAGAAGTGTTCATTTCTATTGAAATAAATGCTATAATGAAAGTAAATCCTAGGAGAAAGTTGCTATTTTGTGAGAAGTTTTAGAAACTATCATAAACCATCAGTCATACCATATATATGAATAGTGTAGCACAGAAAATTTATTTTGCCTACCTAGAGTGTTGGAAAAATGAAATTGAATATTAATCATTACATTATATTACATTATGTTAGGCTGTGGCAGTAGGGGAGTGGCATTAATAGAAAGCCACCTATATTATATTTTACTAGAGGCCTGGTGCATGAATTCATGAGCCAGTGGGGTCCCTTGGCCTGGCCTGCATGATCGGGCCCAAACCGGCTCTCCAGCATCCCCTGAGGGGTCCCGGATTGTGAGAGGGCGCAGGCCAGGCTGAGGGACCCCTCCGGTGCATGACTGGGTCTGGGGAGGGACGCAGGAGGTTGGCCAGTGGGGGAGGGTCCGGGGAAGGGCTCCAGGGCATGTCCAGCCCTTCTCGCTCAGTCCCGATTGGCCAGACCCCAGCAGCAAGCTGACCTACCCGTCTGAGCGTCTGCTGCCCCCTGGTGTACCTCATAGCGACTGGTCAACTGCCTGACCCCTGGTGGTCAGTGCATGGCATAGCGAGTGGTTGAGTGGCCTTAGCATATCATTAGCATATGATGCTTTGATTGAATGGACAACCAGACACTAAGCATATTGGGCTTCTATTATATAGGATTTTTTTTTATTGGAACAAGTGACATCCTTCTAAATGCCACTTGATTTGGTCTCTGTGCCTATTCCTAAGCTAGCACACAGAAAATTTGCTATATGAAGTGTTACTGTCACAGAAAGGACAGACTTTGAAGCATAGATAAAAAGAATGTAAACAGCATGTGTTTCTGTATCTTTGAGGGCTGTTCTCTCCTGAAGAGCACTGGAGAAGCTGCTGCTTCTCTCTCATAAGTCTGGTGCTGGAAGAAGGAAGTGTTCACTGAGTCTAGCTTCCCCCTTTACTGAAGGAGTATCATAAGCTTGGAATTGAAGGAATCTTCTTAGAAATAATTTCATCCAACTCCTTTATTTTATCCTGGAGTCCAGGGAACATGGGACTTTTTCAGAGACACACAGGACTCCTTCGTAGTAAAGGAGACAAAAACACGGTGCTGTTTCAATACCACACAAACTTTAAAGATTCTAGTCCAGTGGTTTTTAGAGTTTCTTTCTGAACTGGGACCCCTTCCCTCACCCCCAACAAAATCAGCACCCCCAGCACACAATCCCAGAATACAAAATAGAAAAGTATCACTTGATTATATGTGTTTAGGGCAGAGACCTGTTGGGTCCAGAGCCCTACTCAATATGGCCTCTTCCCTTCTGTAAGCTGTTTGAACATAGTTTGAAAAGCACTGTTTCATTCTTTTATATAATACAAATAGTTATAGTCCACAAACATTTATTGGGGACTCTATGATCTAGGCACTGGGAATACAGTGATTCTAAAAAGAACGTCTGCCCCATGTAGTATTCAAGTTACAATGGGGGAGATAGTTAAAAACAAGGTCAGAAAACGTTTAGAGACTTTGGGACTTGATCTTAGCAGTTCTCTAAAACCATCTTGGATTGGTGGCCAACCCTTGTGGCCCAAACCTCATGGCTCCTGATTCTTCAAGATTCAGTTCTGTCTTTGCTACGTTCGCCTGTGTTTAGGTAATCTTTGTGATTAGACCTGGGACAAAGCCATAGTAATATCAGATATTCCTCCTGGATTTCTGATTCTGGTATAGGAAATTCATGTTGGTGAGATCATGCCAGAATTACGTCTGACATGTTTCCCTTTGCTCTGGGTTGAGAGGACTGCCAGTGGCCCATCACAGACATCTCATGTTATGGAGAGGCCACTGTCACTAGCTCTGCCTGTGTACCTTCCAGACTTAAAAGTACAGTGAGTGTTCCCTGGTTTGAAAGACAAGCTTTCCTCTTGTCCCTCCTAGTTTCCCCACCCCTATTAGCTCATATGCTACCTGTTGGTCAACATTCTGAGATGCCTAAACCCTTTTCTCTTCATACCCTTTTTCTCATTACTCTAATTCTGTGGCAATCCTCAGTGTCCTCCTTTTCCTGACTGATTTGGCCCTCCTTGATAATCTTGGGATGTTAAAACTTACCCAAATTCAAAGTAGATGTTCCCTGCTGTGGTATAATATAAAAATTAGAGTAGTGAGTTAAAGAAGCAGACGCTCCTTACTAGGGTCTCCCAGTTCTTGAAGGTGTCTAAGATCAGACTGTTTCGGTAGGATTTCTCAGAGCTTCATGCTGTGCAGTGAACCTGGATCCGTCTGAACCTATTACTTACGTCTTTCTGTTCTGTCCCCCTTTCCAGCAGTAAACTATTGGATGTCTATCCTGTAAACTTTCAGTGTTTAATCTCTAATATCTTTCTAGTTGTATCACTTTTACTAGTAAACAGCATATTTTTATTGATTTCAGAGAGAAAGAGAGAGAAACATCAATGTTGAGAGAGAATCATTGATCAGCTGCCTTCTGCATGTCCCTTACTGGGGATCAAGCCCTTAACCAGGGGTGGGCAAACTTTTTGACTCGAGGGCCACAACGGGTTCTTAAACTGGACCGGAGGGCCGGAACAAAAGCATGGATGGAGTGTTTGTGTGAACTAATATAAATTCAAAGTAAACATCATTACATAAAAGGGTACAGTCTTTTATTTCAATAGTTTTATTCATTTCAAGCGGGCCGTAGTTTGCCCATGGCTGCTCTATCCGCTGAGCCAAACCAGCTAGGGCTAATAATATAATTTTCTGCTAGTTCTCATCTCTATAACAACCCATTTACTTACTTTTTTTTTCACAGTGAAAGATTATAGTGACATAGTCTTCCTTTTACTTGAAATTCATCTCTTTTCCTAATTCTGCTGTGGTATTATGCCTAATGATCAAAGCAGTAGAATATTTATAGTACTTTTACTTTTCTAGGCCACTAAGTATCACTCATTTGCTAAAGCTCAGTTTATTAAGCTAGGTACTTATTTTTTGGAGATCATTTTTACACTATAGTCTTTTTTCACTTTCCAATTTCTTTTATTTCTATCACCTCTTTTTTGTTGGCTTCTTGAAGTACTGGCTAGGGTACCAATCACCTTAAGGAACTTTGAAATCCCATCCCTTTTCTGTGTGCTTTGTTCCACTGTTTTCCTGGGTAAAAAGTAATGAATATATTTAGAGATAAAAACAATCTGTGACCAAATGTGTTCTTGCGGAGTATGTTATTTTTCGTTATTTTTCTGTGGTATTGCAAACAGTCATGCTTGTGTGCTACAGGTTCTATAGATGTGAATAAAACTTGGTTAAGAAATATCCAAAAATGCTTATGAAATATATGACTGGAAAGTGATCATTTGATAATTAAATAGGCTTCCAGGAGGGTGGTGGTAGTTAGCCATACCTGGAAGGTAATACAATTTCAACAAGTAGAAACAGGATGAGTAAGAGTAAAGTAAGAAAGGGCAAGATTTGTACAGAATAGAGAGCAGGCCCATTTGGCAGGAATGGAGAGCACAAATGGGGATATGTTAGGAAAGAAGGCTGGATAAAAAGGCTGGGGTCAGATTGTGGAGACCTTATTAATAGCAAGCTAAAGAAGTGAGCTTATTGCTGGTAGGCATTGGGGTGCCACCAAAGAACTTTGAATAGGGAAGAAATATATGTTGCTAGAGGAAGATTATTTTGAGTACAGCTATAATTACAGAGAACAGAGGGCTGAGACTAATGACTCTTTCACAGAGGTCAGATTTTGAAGGCCTTCCAAAAGATCTTGTAATCTTGTAGTCTATAATAGGAAAGTTAAATGTTTAAATAGATCATGCTGATACAATGTGGTTGAGTTTGATGACAGGTTGGTATAGAAACGGATGTTTCTGGAATTTGGGTGTGTAAAAGGCTGGGGGGAGTCGAGGGTGGCTTCAGGAAGGATTGATATTTGAACTGTCCTGAAGGGTAAGAAGGAATTAGTGTAACGCACAAATTAAACAAAAACAATTAGTGTAACTCCAAATTAAACAAAATCATTTCTTCCCAGTGTTGTCAAGCCTGCTATTTTTCTACAAAAATATGACTTGTCAAAAGTTCTCACTTACTGTCTAAAAAGCAAAATACTTAAATTATTCTCAAGGCCAGGAAGCCTTTCCTATTTCTTATTTAAATTTTTTCTTGCCTCTGGCTTCTTCTTTAAATTTTTAATTTTAATCACTGAAAAGATTAGAAGAGGCAGGGGAATGGACTGGACAAAAGCAGTTGTTGATATGTAGCAGTGAACACAAGAGAATCGATTTTACTTTCATGAAGATGTTCAGCATACAATTGCAAATACAGAATTCAAGTTTCAAAGATATTTATATTAAAAATACAGAATTTGGGCAGGATTCCTAAGATGATAGGTAAGCTGGAGGAATAGATAGGTTTGAGGTAGAAAATATGGGGTGAGTAAAGGAAGCTGGGGTGCAGAGGGCAAAGGATAGAAACGCAGCCAGCAAAGATGACGGAGCAGCCAATGTTATTAATTAAATTATCAACTTTTTTCCCACCCCCCTTCCCCCCCATCCCAGATGGATAGCTCCCAGTTGATCCACTGTCGGGAGCTTGTGGCACATCACCTTTCTACTCTGCAGTCTTCCTTGCCTCTAAATTCCGTTTATGTCTACCGTCCCCTCAAGCACACCCTGGTGACCTGTGACAAAGGAGCGTACAGATTACATCCCTCCTCTGTCCCAGGCCCAGATTTCTCCAAGGACAACAGCAAACCAGAAGTGCCAGTCAGAGGTACAGCAGCCTTCTATCATCATCTCCCAGCTGCCAGTGGGTGCAAGCATGCCTCTGCCAAACGCAAAGTAGAGGAAATGGAAGTGGATGACTTCTATGATGGAATCAAACGGCTCTATAATGAAGATAATGCTTCAGAAAATGTGGGGTCTGTGTGTGGCACTGATTTGTCAAGGCAGGAGGGACATGCTTCCCCTTGTCCTCCTCTGCAGCCTGTGTCTGTCATGTAGCTTCAGGTGTTACCTTTAAGTGCAAGCTGAGGTCTACTACTCTGGGAGCAGGAACATGGAAGACCAGGGAAGGTATATACTGAGTCAGGCTGATTTGAAGTGAGCCAGAAAAGAAACAAAACCATTTATTAGTGTGGCTAATTATAATTCAACATTATTTAAGCACTTAAAGACCAAATAAAAGTATAAAATTCAAAAGATCCAACAATTTTAAGTAAAAAATTTCTTTGTAGTATTTGTCAGTTCTGCCATTTACTCTGCTAAAATGTAATGTAGGCTCCCCATGTTAAAAAGTCACATTCAATGTTGTGTTTTTTTAAGTCCCAAAATTCATAGCTAGCAAACCCTGTCCCATGTCCTGACTTAATTTTCCTCTTGCTTTTGCTTGCTTTTTTATTGAATACTTAATGAATTTTATGCATGTTGATCTATAGCCTGACTTCCACTGATTAGGAAACCCTCAAAATTATTTTTTTAGCAATTCAGTGAACAGATTATTTCAGATTGACAGCCATATTTAATCCATGACTCAAATTCAAATTAATCTGAAAAGGTACTTCAAAATTGCCCCAAATGAATCAGAGATGATAATAGAAAAAGAACTCACATTGCCACATTGATTTTTGTGTTTGTCTCATTTCAGTTTCTAGGATTTGGAAAAAAAATTATTTTTATTTTTGATGATCTTAAACTGAAACTTAAAAGTGTCATATAATTAGGATACTTTTAGATTTGCAAAAGCATTTTTGACATTTGGATAAGAAATTTGTGATAAATATGTTGAGGTACTTATCAAAGAAACATGTAACAATTAAAATTTAGGTTTTATTTTTTTGTAATTTATCAGCTCCCTTTCACTCTATAATCAGTAGGAGAGACTGCCGTGATGTTGGGGCAGCTCTGTGATTGGGTCTGTGACATGTAATAACTGAATTTAGTTCCCTAGTTTTATGTTAAGCTATTAGGATTTTCTGGATAAAAGTTATTCTCTGCCTCCCAAGCTTACCTATATTTCTCTTAGTGACTCCTGTAATCTGAGCTCCCTGTGCAGTCTGAAGAAGGTATTGCAGCCAGAACCAGCCATGTACTGATGATGATAAAAGCCTCTGGTAGCAATAAAACGTTGTCCTTAACCTTGTTGTGATCTTTTTTTTCTGCTTGTGAAGAAGTGCAAGTTCTTGATTGCTTAGGCACTGCTATTTAAACTGGAAAATGATAAAAGTCCTAAGAATGTGCTTTATAGAAAATAATACATGAAGGAAGGGATTTAAATATGAAGGATGCAGGTCATATATATATAAATATATATATATATATATTTCAGAGAGGAAGAGACAGAAACATCAATGATGAGAATCATTGATTGGCTGCCTCCTGCATACCACCCACTGGGGACCGAGCCTGCAACCCAGGCATGTGCCCTGACCAGAATCGAACTGTGACCTGGTTCATAGGTTGATGCTCAACCACTGAACCATACCACCGGGCAGGATGTAGGGTTTTGACACATAATTTTTCCTTTATGTAATTTTCTCACTGGTGGACTGTGGACCTTCCAAACATTAAATTCTCATCTTAATGGAACTGTTTTCGAGAGCAGGCACAGATCCACATCTAGATAATACGGCATTTTAACCTATTGATTTTGGTCCAGTTTAGCGGAGGATGATTATTCTCGGGTCAGCATTTGACTTTCTTCAAATTCTTAGGATAGGGTTGGCTCCCTACCTGCTTATGACTTTACAATTCAGTCAAAGTGAAAACTTATTTACGTCTAAGTAAAGGGAGGAAGGAAGATAAAAGAATGAACTGTTTGCGTGAAAATAGCAAGAGACTGGCAGATACACATTAAAATATCCCATTTTTCCTAATCTCTTGTTGTGTTTCTTAATTCTTAATTGTGGGAGCATGAAGAAGTATACAAGTACATGTTCACCATTTCTGTAAAGTAAGTGGCACTTAAATTCCCCCCACCTCTACTTAACAGATGAGTAACATTTTTATTATGTAAAAAGCAAGTGATAACATAGTGTCTAGGGTCAGAATATTTCATTTGTAGTTCAATAGCTACTTTGAACAGAAGTTAGTGACAGGAAGATTTTAATTACTTGATTTTGAAGTTTTCTAATCTTACTAAAAAATTGCTGATAAATTCACTTGGAATATAGTATTGCTTTCATGGGTAACTAAATAGGGATGGTTAGCTGTTACGCCTCAAAGCTTATTTAATCCATAGTCAATTAAATGGTAGTACTTTGGAGACCAGACCTTTCTGAGCACTTTCCCATAAACCTGGGCTCTTGGAGAACTTTGGGTTTGAACTCATGGATTGGGACAAAAAAGCACAGTATTCTTGAACAATGTGGAACTTCCGTTAACATTTCTATTAAATTAGATCCTGTTTTTTTTTTTTTGTTGTTTTTTTTTATAGTTTTTTTTTTTTTAATATATTTTATTGATAAGGGAGAGAGATAGAAAGTAGGAAACATCGATGAGAGAGAAACATCGATCAGCTGCCTCCTGCACACCCCCCACTGGGGACGTGCCCGCAACCCAGGTACATGCCCTTGACCGGAATCGAACCTGGGACCCTTCAGTCCGCAGGCCGACGCTCTATCCACTGAGCCAAATCAGTTTCGGCAAATTAGATCCTGTTTTACCTGAAACTATTCTCATTAGCCTATCCCAGGTTACTTGACTTAAATCTTGGCATCACATCATAAACTATTCTCTTCCAAGATTTGAAAACTGTACCTTTATGGTTCATAATTATCAGGTGCCTCCTGGTGGTTAGAAAACCTGTCATTTCCTTGAATCCTGCGCAAAGGTAAGGGAATAAACTGGATGGGCATAAATCATCAATAGAAAAAGTGAAAAGTGCATGCTGTACCTCGGAAGATCAAACTAGGAGAAGCTAAATATGTACTTCATTCTTCTTGCAAGATTGGTATGAAGTTGGTTATCCGTGGAGAACTAAATGTTGTATCTACCTGTGATGTCTAATATTAGTGTGGAAGGGGAGGGGAGGTTTGGGAAGGGGCGGTGCCCCAAATGTCAGATACAACTGATTTGTCAGAAATGTTCTTGAAACTATGCCTCTGGCTCTGAAGGAACTAGAGCACAGCTCTTCAGTCAAGCTGGTATGAGCATCTAAGCCTGCATTCCCACCACTGAGGGAACTTAGACAGTGCTTTCTGCCCCCCACCCCAAGAAGTATTTTTTCTTTTCTCCTGTGCTATTAAACCAACATGTGAGCATGTCCTCTGCACGCTGCATACCTGGATTTTCAAGCTGCCTAATTTACTATCTAGAGTTCCTGAAACCAGAAAGCAGCACAGTGGCCTTTCACTAAAAATGTGATTCAGTCACCAATGCTTGGCCAACATGGTGGGAGCTCGTTATCTTCATCCTTAAAGCAGTCTGTACATTTTCAACTGGAAAGGGTAGATACTGTGCCAAATATTCCCACAACCATCCTGGGAGATAGTATGCCTTGTGCACATTATCAAGTTGAGGGTTGGATGATTGTCCAATGCCATATAGCTAAGACTTTTTAACAAGTTTCAAAGTCCAACTCATCTCAAATTTTTAGCCTTTATATTTGATACCATTAAATTTTTTCTAATATAATTGTTACTTCTGAAGCCTCCAGAATTCTTGAAATTAGCCTTTAAACTGTTAATACAGTGTCTCTTACACGTGTTATTGTCTTGAGCTTTGGCCACTAGATGGTGCGTCTAGGAAAATGAAACATCTTAAATTTCTGGGAGAAATCAAGTTGTTTGGTTTACTGTATGGGAATGAGTAGTTGAACACTCATCTCTTGTTGCAAGGCAATATTCAACATCAATTGCAGTTACAAATTCACGTTACAATATGCCAGAATTGTTGACCTCTGTTACACAACAGTGGGACAAAGAATAGCATCGGCCTAGTGAACTGGCTTCTCCTCAGAAACAGCTTATTTGGGCAAGAGGACACTGCAAAATAAAAGGCAACCTTAAACAAGCCACTGCTGAAAAGCAGTTGTTGGTGGTATGCTTTTGCTTTTCAGAATATGATCTATCCAGCAATTTAGCATAGAAAGGGCTTACCTTTTTACTTGAGAAGTTTGCTTATAAGGTATACGGAAAGGGTGCAATTCATGGTTCCTGACTATATCTCCAGCACCTGATGTAGGC